TAGTAATATAAACATTCAGAATAAATATGAAATGCTACGTGGTAAGGGCCAGTTACAGAGCCGGTGTAGCGGAATTTTTAGAATTTAGTGACACATCGAGGAACAAAATCTAGAAATGACAAAATTTTAGAATTTATGAAGACACTGGGCAGCAGAAGTTAAGATCCTCAGAGATAGCATCAGGTGGAAAAATGCATTGTGCCAGCCCTGTGTGTGATGCACAGAGCTGTAGCTAGGGTTTTCAGCGCTCGGAGACAACTGAAGATTTTGAGCCCCCTTCTGTATGAACATCAGTTTGGTACTTCATGGACGCTGCACCCGGGGACAAATGTCCCTTCTTGCCCCAATCTAGTTACGCCACTGATGATGCATTAAGACACATAAGATGAATCTTTTAAACTGTCAGTTTTCAATTTCTTTATTAACAGAGATAAAACAAAGGAAAAATAAACATGTTAAGAAAAAGGACTAATAGTATCAGAAGTAAAGCAATTAAATAATATGTTTTCATTGTTCTTCTGAAAATTCTCCAGAAAGTAAAAGTTTATCACAAACTTTCTGTAAAACACATCCATTACGTATTAATACCATGAAGACATTTTCCTAGAATCTTCTAGATTAGTGGGTCTATAAATCTTGTCAAATCCTTCTAAACTTTCCAAATTGCAGTATCTAAAATTCTAAAGAAAAATTACCCCTACCATTTCTGTAAAATCGAAAAGCCAGAAATATATTGAAAAAAATCATAAGAAAAAAGTGTAAAATTAATTTTGGAGAGAAAACATGCATATTGAGACAATTACATGGAAAAAACTCTTACCCCAACATTCAATTTAAGCATTATTACCTTATTTATTTTTCAGATTCACAATATTGTACAAGTTGCCAAAATGGAAAGTAATGTCACTTTATAGCATGATAGCTAAAAATAAAAATGTTTCATTTTAATGTTATGTCTTGAATACAATTTCAATATATTAGGATTATTTTAATGAAAATGATCAATGTTTAAAAAAATATCGTCGAAAAATTACTAGACTTCCTAATTAAATTTTTTTTTTACAGAAACTGATCTTAAAAATCGCCAAAATGTTCATAAGCCACCAAATTTGGAACCTTTTAATAAAGAATTCACATTTCCCAAAAGCGAAAGGTAGTTTAAGATATCTTCATTAGAAAAAATGAAATAATTTCCAAATGCTTATGTTTCACTTCTTGCTCAGAAACTTCCCACCGTTCGTATTACAAATAGAAACAAATTATAATTCAATAACCTATTCACCCATTCAAAAAATAACTATATTTGCCCAAAATGCTAATTCACATCCAAAATGGCAGTCTTAAAAACAGACAGAAATTTCAGATGCTTAAAATTAAGGACCTCCCGCCGAATTTGAATGAAATTAAGGACTTTTAAGGACCAGAAATGGATTCCAAAAAATCGAAGGACTCTTAAGGACCGTACGAAACCTGATGGATTAATTCAACATTTGTGCTACACTGGATAAAAGACACGGTATCTACCTGGAAGATATTTGTTTCAGAGCATTAGAAATTCATGAAACTACAGATCCCAGAGCATGGAGACAATGAATAGGTAAAGAAAATCCCGTGGACTTGCGAACAAGAGGATTAACTAGTAAAGATTTGCTAACTTAAAAAAAATGGTAGCAGGACCCAAAATTGTTATTGTACCCGGGCAATACTTGGCCCCAGACGAAGAGATTTGAATATGACTCAATAGACCAGATTGAAGGCTGAATATAAATCTTCTGCTATAATTAGTTCCACAATTATTTCCAAATGGATAATTGATATTAATAAGTTTACGCAAAATATTGAAGGTGACTTCTTGGGTATTGCGGTTTGTTGATGTTCTTAGGAGGAAAACTAGAACAATGGCTCCTCTTCCTACTACAATCGTGCTGAACTGTTTTAAGTTAAAGCTGTTCAAAGGGACATTTTCTCTGAGGAAATTAAACTGTTTGAAGAATGGCAAGCCTTTACCAAAAGACTCTAAGTTGTTGTGCTTAAACCCATTTTTAGATTATGAAGATGTATTGTGAGTAACAAGAAAGTTTGAGAAAACTCATTTATCTACAGATGAAAAACACCCTATTATACTACCGTCAAAATCTAAACTAACTGAATTATTGATTTGAGGAATCCCATAATAAAGTATTTCATTCCGGCATATCTCTTTTGCTTGTGCAGGTGAGAGAAAAAATACTGGATACTAACGGCCAGACAAGTTATCAAATCTCTTTTAAGTAAATGTGTTATTTGCAAAAGTTCCAGCATTTCTCCAGGAGATCGGATTGGTTGCTCCATTACCGGCTCTTCGAATGGAACAATCAACCCCATTTACAGTTAATGGGATCGACTAAGGTCCATTTGTAAGAGATACTAAAAACAAACAATATATTCTATTGATAACCTGTGCTGTTACAAGAAGTGTTCATCTGGAACTAGTTAGTAATATGATCCCAGATGCATTTTTTGCTTGCTTTCCGACGTTTTGTATCTCGAAGAGGACTTGCAAGGTCAAAACCGAGTCATCGGCTATCAGACGTCCTAACTTTCGTTCAATTTAGAACAAAAGTTTTATCTTCATTGTTAATTTACAAATATGTATTGTGAGTATACCTTTTTATGGCTATTCATCATTTTTTTAAAATTATTCTGTTAAAATTTGTAATTCTAGTAACGTCTATGAACAAATTTAATATTTAAAATGTGCTTAAGTTCACAGAGTCATGGTGTGCTCTCTCATGGAGCCATTGTATAATTTTTTTAAAATGGTGAATATTGTTTTTTTGAATTTGGATAATGTTATATTGAAATTGCCGCATGTTCTATTTATACTCTCAGTTATATTTTTTTTCCTTGTGTCTAGAAACTCGAGTGTTTTTGCAGTATGAGTGTATACAAGTTTGATGAACGCCCCTGGGGGCAAGTTGTTAAAAATAAAATGATCATGTGATCAGACGGAGTGATTAACGGTCGTCTGAATTCTTTCCCGGCAGGCCTTGCAGTAAATGTTTATGTAAACAAATCTTGAAAATTCTATGTAACGTATTTCTTGGTTTACTAGGCCAGCTTTTTATTTCCTGTTTTCGGATTAAATACGCTTGGATTTTTTAGTCTAATTTGCTTTTAGTGTGTGATGTGAATAAAAATAAGAAAAAACTGGACAATATGGTCTTCATTCAAGAATCTCGTTTAATTTTCTAATAATGATGTTATTTTTTCCCGTCTGGGCTGGTTTTTTTATCAATGACCGCACTTACCTGCACTTTATCAGGAATGGAGCACTAACGGCTCAGCGATACAGGGACAAGATCATCAGACGTATTGTCGTCCTTTACGCTGTAGCTGCAGCAATACAGGAAGGATTCATTCTCACGGATGATAATGCCAGGCCACATCGTGCCCAGCTAGTGTACAATTTCTTTTTCGACGACGAAATCCTTCAAATGATTCGGCCAGTATGTTCCCCAAATATTAACCCAATAGCACATAATCAGAGGTGGACATAGCCGGGCTAACAAGTTGCACGCGGCTCTCGCAGGTGAGTGGTGTGGCTCTTATGCAAATAAAATATGTGCATGAAATATGGTAAACTTAAACTACTCATATCAGAAGTTTCATGAGCACTACAAAATCTCTGATCAACATTCAAAAGAAGGTATCGCGGAATAATCCGAGCATTAAAAACTAAAAAACAGTACCTTTTACCGCATGAAACTGTTTTTAGAAAAAACAAAATCACTATAAAACTGCGCTCTATCTTTGACACATGATCACATGCTAAGACAGACTGTCATTGAATGACTGTTTTTCAGACGTCATGCAAATAGACTGTTCAGACGTTTCTTTTCATTTGAAACCTGTTTCAGTAACTTTAAGTAGATGTAAATATGGACTTCTGGCTTTTGGAAAATCTAAAACTCCGAAGAATTTAAATTTGTGTGATGGAATGTAAGAAGATTAAAAGTCAAATTTTTGAAAAGGTATTGGCTTAACGACTTCTTTCAAGTACTGAACGCTACTATGGAGGCTCCCGACCTAAGGTTAAACCATGCGCGATACTGCCTACACAGCGGGAAGAGAAGTACTAACAAGCAACCGCCACCGCCAAGGTGAGCTCAGCGGCATTAACTACGTTCAAAGACAAGAATATAGTTCTCAGCTACTAAAATATGATCATCTTTGCACTCATGTACAACGTACAGAAAATTTTGCATAATTACATGGCAAATCATAATGGGTACATTGTTAAAATTAAAGAATTAACGCTAGTAAGAAAAAAAGAAAGAGAAAGACTGGCAAGGTCAACAATATCGGATGTCCCGAAATATGAGTTCCAAAAAGATCCGGCTGCTGTTTGTAGGATACAAGGATATGGAATATCATCAAATACACGTGGAATCATGTTATGCCAGTATGAATATGGCTCAACAATGTTATATCAGAAAAACGTCCGAGAATAACTTCTGATTACAATATTTAACACCGGAGTGCTGTATTTGCAGTGCATAAAAAATGAAAGGGAAGAAAAAGAAGCAAACAGTGCTATCTGGAAAATTCGTATTATAAAAATGATACGTTTCTTCGAATGCCTGGTGCATTAAGCTTACAGGTTTACAATAAAAAAACACTTATTCAAAAACCATTCAGAGGAAAAATCTGGATTAACCGTAAACAGGCTTAGTGATACAGGGATACTATATGTATACCAAAAGAGCGAAAATATACCAGCCCCCTCTAAAAAACTGTGCATATTTGAATGGAGGACTGGCTCCATATTTATACAGAAACGACAGGATTTGAATCATCACTTAATGTTCAACTTATCAGCAGCAAGTTATCGGATCGAAAATCTATTTAAAGACGGAAAACTCCAAAAATTAAAACATATAGAAATGTAAAATAAATCCTATTTACCTATCCTAAATAAGAAAATGAGCTCCAGTTACACACTGAATTTAAAAACCTACCTTTCAAGACAATGGTATCTTTTCCTGTTTCGCCTTGGAGAATATCTTCAGTGTACCGTACAAAAACTTCTCCATAGTTTAGTGAACCTGTTTCGTCCAGAACCCCAAGCATATTCCTCCCCTGACTTGGGTCAATTGAAACATTAGCTTTAGATTTAAGTTTTTCTGAAAACATAAAACATTCACATAGCATAATTAGCTTTACATAACATTATATTAATATAGCATTAACATAATTAGCTTTACATAACACTAACATATTAGCTCATAAAGTTTTTCTGAAAATGTATTTTTTAGTGTTAAAAATTAAAACCTATAATATATATACACACAACTGTATTACTCAAATAAATACTGAAATTTTTTCAGTCATGAGCAAAAGACTACAATTTTCAGCTATATCATGGCATTAAAACTTGATTTAAGGCAATTCCAATTTATACATTCTGATACGTAAAGGAATGCGGAACATACCTGAGAACTTATATGATTACAGTTGCAGTCTTTTTCCACTCTGTACTGCATAAAAATTCTGCAAGATGTAATATCTCTTAGACCTTTCAAAGCTATAACCTCACCGGGATTCGAATTCTGGATCTTACGATAGTTAGTTGGATGTTATAATCAAGAGCACATGCAGTAGAGAAAGCCAAAATTCCTTATATTCTCTCTCACGTAAGACAATTGGGGAAAGCGTCTCCAAATAGAGGTAGTGACGAATTATCATACACAACATTTTTTAGTCTGGCAGAACTACTAGAGCTAGTTTTAGATTTTTTGAAGCCAAAAAAAGTAATAATTCAGCTATGGCCTCCCCAGAATTCGAACTCCAGATCTTCCAATCAGTCATCGAATGTGCAGTCATTTACATCCCAAAGTCATACAGAGAAGAAGGCAAAAATTCCTTTTAATGATAGCGAAGAGATAAGAGAGTAAGACACCTGGATAATACCGTTAGAAACTGTTGCTTTAAGGAATGAGATAAATATATACCAGCGAATATAAAGTTATTATCGAAGAAGTGAGTTTGATTGTTCTACTTGTTACTTTCTTTCATAAAAGATACTAGATTGTTATGCTTGTTACTTTCATAAAAGGTACTAAAATAAAATCATGGAATTAAAAGATGCCAATAAATATTTTGTGAAGATCAAACGCACTGAAAAGAGGGATGGTATGTGCGAAGTCAAATCATCATCTGATGATGTTTTAAGTGCCTTTGTGATTCTACAGTTAGTTAAAAGATTACATACAGATGATATTTTGATATAAAAATGATATGCGATAATTTATATACGATTTCTTGTTGATTAACGGTGAACAACATTATCAATGTTCCAAATGAACTGTGTAAAATGGATTTTAATAAAGAAATAATCAGCTGTATTAGGCTCTTAGCTGTATTGAGCTGAAATATAATAAGCTGGACTGAGTAATATCAACACGGAAGTAGAATGTCCGATAAATTGGTTTCGTTTGACAATCTGTATCCTGTGTTTTGTTTTAATCTATCACAGTGGTCTTCAAACTTTATCGATTCACGGAGCCCCTTAGAGCTATAAGGTTTTATTTTGGAGAACCCCATCCCACTCTTAGAAAAATATATCCTAAAGCAATACTTAAAATAGATTAATACGTTTTAGGTACTTCATGTAAAGACAATTAAAGTGTTGTATTTTTTATAAAGCACTTTAACATAAAATTAATCTAATTTACTCATTAACAGCATTGTTTTCCATGTGTCACTTACCTTGCTTTAACATTTAATGATAGGGAGTAATCGCTTTTTTTTTAAACAAAAGCTGTCCAAGTCTAGCACTACTGATGTTATCCGAAATCGCATTTAAATCGCTTATATATCTAAATACTTTTAAAACACTTAAAAAAGTTTTAATTTTGATTTTGGTATTTTTGCGGTTAAGAGTTTTATGTTTTAAAAGCAATAGAAGTTTAGAAAATACTAATTTTAAAAAACAATTAAAATACTGAATATTTTTTTAATTTTTATTGTTTTAAATTAAATTTCTGTTTCTTGGAGATGGTATATGAAGAAATATTAGTTCTAAATTTCTTACTTTATGTCTTTAATGATAATTTTTCTGAAGCAGCCGCAATAATACTAGGCATGTTTACATTTTGTTTTCAAAAGAATTTTTTTCTAATTACATATATATATATATATACACATATATATGTGTATGTAAGAAAATAAAGAATATGTAAAAGATTACATTAACAACGTAAATTTTCCATCTCAACTCTAAAAATAGTAACCTCTATTTGCGCTGCGTCTTTCATGAAAAATAAAAATCTACGTCATATGATTCTAACGTAATTCTGATGATGTAAATGGAACTAAAAACCAAGACAGCCAACAGTAATTTTATAGCAGTATTAACGATCAAATCAAAATGTATCGAAAACCAAAACTAACTCAGTCTGAATTAGGATTTCACCCTGAACATAACGCACTTGCTTTCTACGCTTTGGCCTGGCCGGACTGCTATCTGTCTGTTCCTTATTTCTTACTGCAAATTTACCTAAAATATACACTTTTTGCAATAGGCACAATTAATGTGCCAATTTCATTATAGCCACAACATGTTTGCTGAAATAAAAAAAATGAAGATTTAATCTGCCTTCGCCTCCAATTTCCTATTCATTATGGAATTAATTCCTTTCTGTATTCTAAAAATAGTAACTTCTATTTGCACTGCATCATTTCGAGAAAAATCTATGTCATATGACTCTCACATAATTCTGATGATGTAAATGAAACTAAAACTCAAACAGCCAATAGTAATTTAACAGCAATATTAACCATCCAATCTAAAAGTGCCTTGAGAACCAAAACACAGTTTGACTTCAGATTTCCTCCTGAACATTACGCACTTTCTTTCTATGCTTTGCCTTAGCTGGACTGCAGACTGTCTGCTGCTTCTTTTTTGCTGCAAATCTATCAAAAATGTAAGCCCACATTTAATGTGCCGACTTGTATGTAGCCGCAATATATTGCTGAAAATAAAACTGAAGATTTAATCTGCCTTCGCCTCCAATTTCCTAGTCATTATGGATCAACACTTCTACTGCTCCTGAATATATTATATATATATGAAGTAAAAAGAAAGTTTAAAAAAAGAATTCTCGCAGTAATGTTTATGAAAAAGAAAAGAGACGAATCTGCGCAAATGCAGCAAGATCGAAAATAATAAAATCATTAAAAGAAAGGAAAATTCGGAGCTTAAATGATTGTATATAATTAAATCCTTATGAAGGCGCTAACAATTCTTTCTCACTTAAAGTCGTAACCCAAAAGGAGAAGAAGTGAAATTAAACTTCAAATACGTATACAATACTCAATACAAAATATAATAATAAACAAAAAATAAGTATTAATCTTTGTTTAACGTTTCAAACAGAACTTGTAAAGGGTAAAGTGTTTTGAAGCCTTAAACCAAGTTTAGTAATGAGTTCCGAATACGTGTTTTGTTCCTCTGATTCATTTGAGACTATATTTTCGAATCAAATATTCAGTTTGAAACAACATTTACGTAAACTACATGCATTCCCCAGGACTGCAAAATTAAAATAGGAAAAAGAATTACAAAATAAAAACACAAATTAAAAATCGCAGAAATTTTTTGGCCAAAACCTGAAAAATAAAATGCTAAAAAAGGCAATATGAACTAATGCTGATATGCTGGGCTAAAAATGTCTTTTATGAATTACTTTAATGATACAAATGTTTACAGAACCACTGATTCGACAAAATATACAACAATACTTCAAATAATATTTGTAAATACCAATATATTATGAACATTTCAGTTTCTAAAGCTGCATACCATATCCTTCGTTTGAAAACACTGCACTATATTCTATCAGTACATGCTTTGCAAATAATTCCATCTATTTTCAACTTCGCAGCACAAAATTCAATAAATTTGCCTTTAGGTTTCATAAAAGATCCAAGACCCAAGACGGTACGCCCTTTACAGATGGTCCAAATCATTCAATAAATTATTTTGTACTCATCAATCACATGGAATTCCTTGAAATACTTCGTGCATATGTTATCAGACAGCACGGTCTTCACTAACTGGAAATGCAGCTCACTAATATGTACATCGGGGGTAAATTTCAGAGTCTAAGAAGCTGTGAATTGGAAATGATGCTAGGATAATAATAAGTAAAACAAGAAACGATCTAATAAGAAAATCTAATCTAAGATCAAAACGAACCTAAATAAGAAAAGTAAGAAACGATTAGAATAAGCCCCCTCTAACTCCTCTGTAAAAGAGTTCCTACGCATTTTGAAACTAAAAGGAAGGAAGGCGAACACATTTTGAGAACATTTATAAAAGAAATACACAGTATCGATTATTTATTAAAAAAGAAAACCCACAGTAAAATTTAAAATCTACGTCACTAGTGCTAACTGAATGCATTTGAAGATTCTCCTCTCCAGCATTCTATACGGTAACATAAACGATCACTTGGTGTTACGTGACTCAGTAAACAAAACGCCAACATTCGCACTGGAGAAGGAAGGTCTGTTCTGTGAAGCTCGTTTAGGTGCTGCAACTACTGCAAGTTATATGAAATTATTTTCAGTCACTTTTGTACAATTTTTGAAATTATAAATTCTGAAAAATGAAGTTTAAGGCTCTCAACAAACCCTGGTTGTTGATTTTCTTGAACTTTATCAGAAGACATTGCGAATACACTCACTTTGTTCTTCAGATATGTAAGGTCGTCAATGACTAAGGTAATGTATTCTTAAATTAAGGTACAGTGGAACTTCGAGATACGAGTTTAATTCGTTCCAGCATTGAGCTCGTATAGCGAATTTCTCGTATCTAGAAGCAAACTTCCCCACTGAAAATAATGGAAATCCAATCAATCCGGTTCCGCACCCCCAAAAATATCAGCATAAAAATCAATTTTATTTACAAATAACAGTGGTAAATAATATAACTGTAGTTTACCTTTATGATAGCTTCCGTCACAGAATAGCCTTTTAACTGCGTCTCGTTAATCAACACCAACAACAATTTCTCAACATCTTCCTTTTTTTTTTCCCCAGAATAGTACAGATCGTCGATGTCGAACAGCCGTAACTCTTCGCCAGTTCCCTCACTCTTACATCACGCTTATGTTTATCT